CCCCCCCCCCCCCCCCCCGTTCCCCCTCTCAGCAGGCAATGTGGAGCATGGACAGACGGAAGGGGCACCCGCAACCAGAGCGGACACGCGTGGAGTTCTCAAGAGAGCCCTCCCTGCCGGTTCGGAACAAGGGGGCGCGTGGCTCGGCGACGCCCAGGGGACCTTGTCCCCCCCTTCCTCCATGTGCGGGGGCATGCAATTACACCCACTCTCTCGGCCCAGGGGCCCCAGGTACGGAAGGGTGTATGTATATTATATATATATAGGCGTGTGTATAAAGTGCGAGTGTATGTGCATGGGTGGGGGATGATGTGCGACGGGAGGGCGCGGCAGGCTGTCCGTAAGCATGGCTGGGGGCGACGTGGTGCGGCTGGCCTCACGGTGGGAGTTGCGCCGGTGCTCCTGCCCCTGGGACCAAGACGCCTGAGATGGCTCGCCCGCCGGAAAATGCCGCTCCCCGGACGCCCGCCGGTCGGGTGCGGTCCTGTGCTTTGGTCCGGCAATTCGTAAGCCACAGGGCCCCCCCTCTCTCTCTCCCCCCCCCCCCTACCGCCCTCTGCGCCCTCTGCGCCCTCTGAGCCCTCTGCGCCCTCTGCGCCCTCTACGCCTTCTGCGCCTTCTGCGCCTTCTGTGCCCTCTGTCCCTCAGTCCCCCCCCCCCCCCCCCCCCCCCCCCCCCCTCCCCCCCTACGATGCTCCCCCCTCCGCCCCCCCGCCCCCCCCCCCCCTACCCCCTCCCGCCCCCTTACGGTCCCGCACCAATGCAGCTGGACTGTTTACCCTTTCCCCGCCGCCTTCCTTGGACCAGGGGCTTCAGCTTGGCGGTCTCACTTGGCGTGCGGAGGTGGCCTTCCGGCCACTCGCAGTTTGTCCGGCCTTCTCTCCTCCTCTTCCTCCTCCTCGCATGCCCTTTGTGCCGTGCGCGACCGCGTCCCGCCCCTCTCAGCCCGATGCGGAGGCCAGGCCACCCAGCGGGTTTCTGTCAAATGGCCCACCCTTGGCCGGCCTCGGTAGGCCCCAATCCTTTCGGGGTTGTCTCTGGCAACTTGATCGATGTGGACTGCGTTGAGGGGGCAGCCGGCGATCATCGTGCCATCGGGCTGAGCGTGCGCAATTCCATGGCTCCCAAGCGGGGCTGATCTGTCTGCGCCGGCTCAACCTCTAGATCCTGTCCGCTGGCGCGCGCTCGGCCTAGCCCACGACACTGATTGTCGAGTGCCTTGCGTCTGGATTGAGTGCCTGCTTGTTCTCTGTTTATATTTCGCATGCCCCGCTCGCATCGGCCCCTGGGAGACACGATATCGCCCGTGTGCCTGTCTCTGCCTCCACGCCGAAGCTGCTCACGCCGGCGCCCGGATCTAGCCGGGCCGACACATGGCGAGAGGCGGAGACGTGCACAGGGGGGCCCACCCTGTGTACGACGAGGGCCAGCCCGGGCCGCAGATGGCGAACCTGCACGCCGGATCCTGCGCTCATCTGTTGCTGATGGGCACGTTGTGCTCTTTTTTTCCTTTTTTTTGCTTCCACCAGCCGGCATGCACGCACCCGAGGGTCACTCCACTCGGGAAGCTGGCCTCGTGCATGTGTACCCCTCGGTGATATGGCCCCAGCCCTCCGAGCCATCTGCCTCCGGGCAGGTCTCCTAGGGAGCTGCATTCGGAAGGCCCCCAGGGTGGGTGGGGGGGGGGGGGGGAGTGGCGAGGAGGCGTGGCCACCTCCGGCCGAGTCCCGAGGTCAGATACATAGTCACCCATGGCAAACTCCCCCCGGCGCCCTGCGCCCCGTGGCATCCATTTTCTCCCGGCACCGCCATCACCCCTTCCGAGTCCCTTCTGCCCGCCGGATAGCCCTTCACCAGTGTCCAGGCATTTCGTCCGACAGGATGACACATTCACCAATGCGAGCCAAGTTGGCTCCTGTAGGTTCGTTCTCGCCAATGTGGCAGCCATGCAGGGGCATCCTCTTTCGGCCTTCCTCCCCTTCCTGTCTGTCGCTCTGGCTCGCCTTCCTTGCCACTTTCGCCCCCCCCCCCTCCCCTCCCCTCTCTGACCATACTATGCAGCACTGGCAGTTCTGGTGTTTGTCTTGCAGCTTGCCAACACAGCCGGGTACAGCACAAGCAGCCAAAGTGGCCGCATCGAGGAGCCCGCATGTGCTGTGGACTACTGCTCCGACGGGTGCATCCAAGAGATCCTCCAGCTTATCTCCTTCGATCCGGAGGAGTGTGTGGCCTTCTTGGCATCGATCGAGCGCGAGTGCCCCGATCTGGGCCCGCTAACTCGGGAGTTGGTTGAAAGCGATCCGGTGACCATCTGCGGCCCGATCGAGCCCGACTCCGATTCCTCCTCAGCCTGGGGCTCCTGGTCTTCCGCGCCTCCATCAGAGTCTGACAGTGGCGGTGGCCACAGCTCGTCCGATGCGGGCTCCCCTTCAGAAGCATCCGACTCCAGAGGCAGCAGCCCCAATGGCAGCGACAGCGGCAGCGGCGGCAGCGGCAGCGGCAGCGGCAGCGGCAGCGGCGGCGGCGGCGGCAGCAGCAGCAGCAGCTCACCATCGCACTCCTCACCTGAGGATTCCGAAGCCTCGTCCGCCGTCGGGGCACCCTCAGGCTCCTCCTCTGGAGGGGGATCCCGGGGCTCCTCGTCTTCAAAAGGTGACTCATCAAACGGGGCTTCCTCCGCTGCGTCATCCTCTCTGTCGTCGTCCTCCTCCTCCTCCGCCGCCTCCAGCGCGACTTCCTCCTCGAGCGAATGGGACGATTCCGGGTCGTTGGACTTCCCGGCTCCCGGCAAGGGATTCCACTGCCATGGGTACTACCTAAATACCGAAGACCAACGGGACGCCTACTGCCAGGACTTCGCGGACCCGGCGGTCGGACAGTGTGGGATCAAGTGCGCTGTGGCCACCAATGCCTTTCTCGCATGCACGCCAGGCATCAGCCGGACCGCCTGTACTCGGTACATGTTGGACTACATCGACACCTGTGAGCAAGTGCATCCCGGGTCCTACGCTGCCCTTATGCCAATCGATTTGGTGTGCAATGATGCCATCTCCGGCCATCTCCCTGGGGCACGGGTGGCTCTCAAACTTGCGGTATTGGCCAGCATCTGGATGGGACTGCTGGTACTCTAAGTGGAGGACCGGCAAGCCACACGCGGCCACACGCGGCCACACGCGGGCACACGCGGGCACACGCGACCACACGCGGGCACACGCGGGCACACGCGACCACACGCGGCCACACGCGGCCACACGCGGCCACACGCGACCACACGCGGGCACACAAACGCACATACACACACACACTCCATGCACACACACACACTCCATGCACACACACACACACTCCATGCACATCGGGGCGCGATGAGTGCAAGAACAGAGAAGCACCAACAAAGTGTCCTATTCTTTTGAAGTATCTCGTCCTTGAATAGAAACAAGTGGACCTTGCGATCTTGGTCGGCCATGATGCAGGATGGACAAGCCAGAAGGGCATCCCCTTTCCGTGTCCATGCTGTTTTGCCTCTTATTGCTGTCACCCCGCCGCCTGTCCACGGACCTCCTTTGCCCTTCTTTTCACCTCTTCGCGTCTCCAATAGCGCGCACACACGGACACACACAACCCTTGCAGACATGGACTGAACACACTGTCCGATGTGCGCGAGGGCTGCCGGACCTGCCTGTCCTGTGTCAGACGAGGACACCGCCACTTCAGTCGTAGCTTCCCTGGCGAGGTGTTGCCCAAACACGAAAAGAGGAACACTTCGCTGGGCATTCCCCCTTTCTCCAGGGACTGCGGCTGTGCCGGGGGGGGGGGAATTTGGCGCCAAGCAGGGAGGATCATCTGTTGGCGTGGCGGCGGGCGGCGATTGAGCTTGCTTGGCTGCTGATCGAGCCACGGCGAAGGCTACGAGAGGCTTCAGCCCGAATAAAGGGTGCTTCTTTTGGCGCGAGGGTCGCCTGTCCCTTCAACCGAGGGGGCGTAGCTCAAATGGTAGAGCGGCCGCTTAGCATGCGGCAGGCAGGGGGATCGATACCCTCCGCCTCCATAACCTTTTGAGCAGTTGCCACTGCTCTGGCAGTCTTTTTCCGCCTTCCCAGTCACGCTCTCTCTCTCTCTCTCTCTCTCTCTCTCTCTCTCTCTCTCTCTCTCTCTACGCGCTTGTGTTGTTGGGCTGGGGAATGCTCCTCGGACACTCGCAGAGCTGGGCGGGCGCGAGGTGGCTCCCCCGGGGCCGCGTCCCAAAATGCATGTTACACTTGGAGATTGACACTGCCTTGCTGACACATGTTGTGGAGGTTTCTATTTTTACAGGGTATACATAAATGTGGGAGGCACATGCCGAATGGTGTGTGTGTGTGTGTGTGTGTGTGGGAGGAGGGGGGGACACAAATTGGGGAGGTTTTGCTGCAACAGACTGGAAGGAAGGTGCAAATACAGAGCACAAGCACAGACAAGCCGGGGCAGAGAGGCCAGCCCCAGAGGGGGCACACAGGCGCGAGGAGGGAAGAAAGTGAAAAGAAGCAAAGGAACACGCATGTCCTCTTCCTCTCCTTGGCCACCGGCGCTCTCGGTCCACGCTCTCTTGCTGGTCTCCCTTCGCCAGAGGAGGGAGGATGAAGGACACGGGGGGAAAAAGGCAGCGATGTCTCACTTGAAGTGGTCCTCACGATCAGCGGCCTCCTGCTCGGCACCATCGGCCGCGCCGACCGTGGCCGTATCCTGCAGCAGGGTGTAATCCAGGAAGTGCGACGGCCGGTGGGTCTCGTGGTAGAACTCGTTCGGGACATCCAGCTTGACCGAGTACTGCATGCTCGGCGAGTGGCGGACAGCCATGAAGTTGTAGTTCCACGGGCCCTCCTCCGGGACCATGAAGAACCCAAGGAAGCGATCGGACAGAAGCATCTGCACCTTCTCATAATGGGTGGGCAGATAGCCACGCTGCTCGATGGCCCCCTCGCGCTGGTCGCGACCCCACCGGAGACCGGGCTCCGTCAGGCGGTAGGCCGCCAGCGAGCAGGATCCCGGGGTGAAGGAGCAGGTCACCACGATCGACGTATCCAGCGACCAGCTGTCCGGATTGGCGGCAATGGTGCGCGCATGCTGCGCCACATCCTGGGGAGCCAGCTGCGGCAGCTCATTCGGCTGGGTGTGAATCCAGCCAAGAGGCTCCAAATCCCGGAGATACGGGTTGTCAGGCAGCTGGCGCGGCAGGTGCACCATCTGGTGGTTGCCCCACTGGGGGACCAGCACAATGCAATGGATTTCCTTGACCTGGGGATTGTCCGGCGGCGAAATGCCATACATGTACCCGGCGATTTGGGTATGCAGATCGGAGATGACGATGAAGCGCTTGAGGATGTTCTTCGGCAGGACATAGGTGTACCCGGTCTCCCGGACATCGCCGGCCGCCACGTAAATCTGGTTGGTGCGCAGGTGGAGGTTGGTGGCGGACACCGCCCGGACACGCCACTCGGTCTTGGAAGAGAAGGCCCGGGTCTCATAGCCGGTGGTGGTGGTGACGATGATCTCGTCCCCATGGACCGTGGTCGACCGGGTGGTGACGGCGGTCACCTGGGCCTCGCGGTTCTGCTTCTCAATCTCGGCCATCTGCTGACGCTGCTCATCCGGCGCGGCGATCTCCATGCCGAGGATGATGTCTCGAATCTCGGACTGAGTCAGGGCATTGAAATTGACATTGTTGCGCTTGGCATAGTCGGCCAGCACCAGATCCTTCAGCTTCACCTCGGTGTCCTTCCACTGCTCGTCGGTCAGCGAAGGCCAAATGTGCTGGGTCTGCATGATGGTCTCGCGGTCCGGCCGGAGCAGGGCCTTGGTCTTCTCGACATTCACATGCAGAGCGCGCAGGATGAGGATCAGTCGCGAGAAGGCCGTGTACGAGGAAATGGTCTTCAGCCAGTCATCGAACATGTTGAACACCTTCATGTGGGACTCATTGGCATTGAGCACCAGGTCACCGAAGGTCTCCAGGTTGAGGCACGCCTTGAAGGGAAGCTGCAGCTCGGACCCCTTGATGGTGATGTTCGGGAAGTCGTTCATGTACATGGACAGCGGATCCAGCATGGCCTTGCGAGTGACAATCAGCTGCCGGGGCTGCTCCTCCACCGGAAGTGACCGAATCAGGGAGGCCACCTCTTCGGCGGTCTTCCACCGAGCCAGCTGGCTCAGACGCTTCTGACCCTTCCAAGTGGACGCATGAATGATCTTCATGTACAGCTGACCGGTGCGCGGGTTGAAGATGAGCGCCGCGCCGTTGATGGCCTTGCCCGGGGTATTACCCTCGAAGGTCTTGTGCACGGTCACCCGGTAGACATTGGTGTCATCCACAAACCAGATGATCTGCTGGCTGAAAAGCTCGCCGTAGTTCTGCGACGACAGGTACGGCTCGGTCGGCTCGGAGGAGTACAGCTGCAGGGCCTTGCGGATGCGCTCGCGCAGGACATGCAGCGCCGGGCTGGCCTTCATGATCTTGGCCGAGGCCCGACGCATGAGCTGCTTCATGCCGGGGAACCAGTTGCCATAGGCCGTGTGCAGGTTGTACGCCAGGTCGATGCCCATGATGATGCCGGTGGCCGACGGGTAGGTGGCCATGGTGGATTGGGTGTAATCGTGGAACTTCTGCCGGGTGTAGCGCTCGATGTCGTGCGAATCGAAGTCACCCCACCGGAGCTGCACATCCACCCAGTACTTCTGCGTGGTGGCCACGCTGAAGTCATCCTCCGCCTGGGCCATCAGCGAGGGGTTGGAGACATTCCACTTGGTGGCCGCGAAGAGGAGAATATCCGCACAGGAGCTGTTCATCTTGTAGGACTTACGCGGGTGAATGGTCTCCTTCTGGACCTGCTCAATGTGCAGCGAGTCCAGCTCCTGATCAAACACCTGGCACAAGTCCATCACAATCGACTCGTGGATCTTCTGCCACAGATGCGCGCGGAAGATCTGCACCAGCGAGATCTTCAGCGTGGGGATCTTACCGTGCATGAAAATGCCGGTCAGATCCAGCTGCACCTGGAAACCCACGTACACATTGGCGCGGTTGATGGTCGGCGACCACCACAGCGTGAACCGGCGATTGGGGATCTGGCTCAGACCGGAGCGCTGGGCATTGGTCAGCTTCTTGAACTTCATGGTCTCCTCGAAGCCGGAGGACTTCTCCCAGAAGAGACCCTCCCAAGTGGGGAAGTAAGTCCCAGCGAAGAGGGTATGCTCCAGGATGCCCTCCACACCGCCGAGGGCCTGGATGATGTCGGTCCGGTAGTTGTTCAGATGCCACAGCTTACCGTCATGCTTCTGATCCGTCCACCAGAAGGGATTCAGCCGCAGGACCTGATACTGCTTGAAGTCCAGGCGCACGCGCCAGCCCTTGTCGTAGGCCAGCGTCCGGCGGTCCTTGCTGAAGAGGGTGTTGATCCGGGGCAGACCACGGTCCCAAGAGTCCTCCAGGTCCTCCAGCGTGATGCGACTGTTCTTGGAGGCCGCCTCGCTGCGCTTCATGGCATACTCGCTCCAGACGCGCTGCGAATCGACAAACTCACTGGACCAGGGCTGGATGTACCGGTGCAGGGCCGGGATCGACTGGTCCGCATCGTGACTCATGCCGGAGCGGAAGTGCGAAATGCCGACATCCGTCTGCCGCGAGTACCGGAGATCCGATTGGGGAATGAGAATGTGCCCCATGGACAGCATGCCCAGGCCGCCGAACTCCTTCGGGCAGTAGAAGACCACCGGCGGGAAGCGCGAGGGCATCTTGGAATTGAGGCCGATCTTGACACGCGTCTGGATCTTGGTCTCATTCTTGACGATGAGGTCCAGCAGCTCGCGCGTATGGACCACCGCCTCGCGGTAGTACGTCATCAGGGAAATGAGGGCCGTGTTCCACTTGTTGATGATCTTGCTGAAGGTCGTCGATCCGGAGGACATGAGAATCTGCCGGATCCGGTTGTTGAACCGGTCCATGCTCTCCTGGTCCACCCGGAGGAAGGCCTGGGCCGTGCGCTCGCGCGTCTGCTCGCTGATCAGGTCCCACAGGCCCTCGGTCAGGGCGAACTTCTGGTCGCCCATGCGCTGCTTCGGCAGGATCCGCACCTCGAAGCCGCACATGCTGAACAGCAAGTTGGGGTTGTCCTTGCTGTACACCGACACAAAGGTGTCCTCCCAGTTGAGGGTCGTCAGCGACCGGGGCAGGCGGTTGCGCAGGTCCCAGTGCAGGGCGCGGCCCAGATTCACGTCATGCTTGATGAGACGCATGCGGCAGTCGCGCGGCCAGCAGCGCTTGTTCTCGTAGCCGATCATGTTCTCGTTGTTCGGGTCCGGGTTCTCGGTCAGGTACCGGCCAATCAACTCGCGAGCCTCCTCCTTGGAGAACCGGACAAACATGTAGAACCGATCGATGTACCGGCAGTACAGCCGGATGGGATGCCGGGTCTCGGTGGCCACGTCGGCGAAGGTGCCGAAGGGATTCGGCGAGGCCGGGTTGCCGCAAATGTCATCCGCGCGCTCCATGCCCAGCACCAGGAGATCCAGCACCAGGCCATAGAATTGGAAGATGAAGGAGGAGAACTGCAGCCCGCGAATGAGACCATACGAGTTGATGTGGCTCATGTCCTTGAAGCTGACCGTGACATTGTTCTTGGAGGTCATGTAGTCGGCGATGTTGTGGTCCACGATCAGTCGCAGGAGACGGTTCAGCAGGGTGAGATCGATCTTCTCGAAGACCTTGTCGAACTTGGTCTCCAGGAGGACACTGCACTGCTCCTCGGAGGTGTCCCAAACATCCTGCAGGTTGTTGATGGCCTGGCTCCACCTGCAAGGGGGTGAGGGGAGGGGGGGAAGAGAGAGAGAGAGGGAGAGGGACGATTAGAACACAGGCAAACACGGGCAGATGGTGGCCCACGCGTGGGGTGGGGGGCGGGGCGGGGCGGGGCGGGGCGGGGAGGTGCAGAGGAAGAGCGGGCTCTTGTCACACGCACTTGTACACCAGCAGCGGCGGCACCTCGTGATCCGAGGGCTTGACCCAGTTGGGGAAGAGCCCGCGGCGATCAGCCTCATACCAGAGGAACTGGTCCAGATAGGCGTCGGTGATCTTCTCGATGGGCTCGATCACATACACCGGGATCAGGTGCGAGTACATGTCGAAGAACTGGATGGACACCTCCTTGAAGGTCCGGTCGTAGACAAGGTGGCGCTTGATGCGCTGCAGGACCTCATACGGGTTGTCGTAGCCCTGCTCGATGAGGCTCAGCTCCTCGCGCTGGGTCTGGTTCAGGCGGATGTTGGCGGTGTACTGCTCGCGCATCTTCTCCAGAGCCAGCAGCAGGAGCTTGATGTCGTGCTTGTATGTGGCCGGCGGGAAGGGAATGGGCGAGAAGCTAGGATGGCGGGGTGTTTGAAAGACGCGTGAGTGGGAGGGCGGAGAGGGAGGGAGAGGGAGGGAGAGGGAGGGAGAGGGAGGGAGAGCAAGAGAGCAAGAGAGCAAGAGAGCAAGAGAGCAAGAGAGAGAACGAGAGAGGCAAAGCAGAACAAAGACAACAGCGCCCCCGGCAGACGGGGAGCAGAGGAAGCAAGAGAAGGAGGAGACACGCGATCGGGAGAGATATCGTGAAAAGGACGCACCGGCGACGCTCCAGCCAATGGGCCAACGAGGTGTAGATGGACACGGCCTGCTCCGGCGACACATACGGCCCGTCCTTCAGGTAGTTCTGCTGGCGCTCCTGCTCGGCCTTCAGATACAGACGAGTCAGGCGACCGAGGTTCTTCCGGCAGACGGTCTTGTCGACGGTGGCACCGCGGCGGATGCGCTCGCGGTTGTAGTGCGTGGCCGAGGTCCACCAGTCGGCCTTGGACTTGACATAGCGCAAAATGAGGGTCTCCAGCTGGACCGGCATGCCGGGGACCTTCCACGGGACGTTGGCCTTGAAGCAGCGCCACGCCTCGCTCAGGTGCTGGAGAATCTGCTTGGCCTTGGAGTTGCGCACACCCTCCGGCATCATGTCCTCGATGTCCTTCATGACGGCGGCTCGGAGCTCGATGTCATAGCTGGACTCGATGCGCTGCTTGGTGGTGGTCTTGGCCACGGCCTTGGAGGACCGGCCCTCGAAGTGCCGCGACAGCAGGTTCCCCAGCCAGCGCTCCAGCAGCGGGACAATGCCCCGCATGAAGAAGAGCCACACGCGCCAGGATGGCGCCCAGAAGCCCACACCCGGGCCCTTGCCCACGGCCCCGGTGTTGAACCGGTAGTAGATGACATGCTTGATGTCCTTGCACATGCGGATCTGGCGCATGAGCTTGTACTTGTACCGGTACATGCCGGTCAGCTGGCCCACATGGTTGAATGTGTACTGCAGGCCATCGGCCAGGTGAAGGGCATCATTGGTGCCCAGCCGGTACTGCACATGGGCATCAACAATCAGCTTGGTCAGGCGCAAGATCTCCCGGCACAGGTGGAAGGCATTGCCGAAGCGGGACTTCTTCCGCTCCTTGGTGGTCAGGGTCCGCGTGGGCTTCAGGTTGAAGTTGTAATCCAGGTGCAGGTAGTTGAGGTTCTTCCGGTGGATAAGCAGGTTCAGGGTGTTGTAGCCCTGGCGGCAAACCTGCAGGCCGGCTTCCACCCAATCGATGGTGGTCGATTGGAAGAACTTCGTGCTCTTGAACTGCCGCAGCAGGTGACGCTTGGTGGTCGGCACCGGCGGCCGCTGGCGAAGGGCATTCAGCACATAGGACTTCAGCAGCTTCTGGTAGGACACCACCACCTTGAGAGGCTGGTCCGGCGGGCAGTACTCCTGGTACCAGCGCTTGATCAGGGGCACATCCTGGGCCCGGCGGGTCCGGCCGGAACGCTTGTCAAAGGGATGGGGCGCCCAGTAGAGGGCCAGGCCGTCGGCGGTGCGCTCCGTGGCCAGGGGCTTGTCGGCCAGCAGCGGGCCGAAGCCCTCCGGAAGGGGCCCGAGATCGGAGCCGCCGGTGCCGCGCCAGCGCTCGGCGTCGATGCCGGCCGAGGCCACCGCCTCCGGCAGCTCGAAGGCCTCGTCCTCCTGGAAGATCTCATCGGCAAAGGCATTCTCATGATCGATGTCAAACTGGCTGGTGACCAGGGGGTTGATGGACCGGTCGAAGTGGTACGCCGGCAGGTTGGCATCCTCCGGGTAGAAGTACAGCACCGACGGGTGATGGTACACACCGAGGTGCACCGCACGCGGCCGGTCATTGTACAGGTAGGGGAAGGCCACCAGGGTTTGGGTGTTGAGCTTGTGCCGGATGATGATCTTGTTGATGTCGTTGAATTCATTCCAGTCGGCATCGGCCTCGCCCTCGTCGCGGAAGAGCGGCTCAAACTTCGGGCCCCGGGGAATGGCAAAGTTCAGGGCCTTGGCCGTGAAGAAGCTCGGCTCATCGAACAGGTAGAAGTAGTTCTGGTCGTAGATGTCACTGAGAAGGACGCGCGCGAAGCGGTAGAGCGTCGACATGATGGGGAAATCCAGCTTCCAGTGGCGGTACGTCGAGCCGTTGATATGCTCGGTGTGCAATAGCGGCTTGTGGTCGTAGAACCAGTCGCTGATGGCGTGGTCTTCGTCCTGTGGGCCGGGGGGGGGGGGGGGGGGGGGGGGGGGAGGTTGGTCAAGATGAGCATGATGTACCCTGGGATGGCCTGCGGAAAGGGGGGAAGAGAGAGAGAGGGGGGTGAAGGCGAGAGAAGACGCACATCGTCCAAGGGAAGGCGAACCGCGGCCACCGGGTCCACATCGATCAGGTTGTCGCCGTAATCCAGAGGGGGCTCCTCATCGTCAAAGGGCGGCAGGCGCATGCGACGGAAGTGCTGAGGGGGGTTGGCCGAGGGTGAAGGAGGGGATCAGTCGGTTGAATGCGGGGAGGAGGGAAGGGGCCGGGAGGCGGGTGCAGCCGCGGTAGGAAGGGGGGGGGGGAATTGCAAGGGCGTACTCGACGGTCGCGCTTCTCCTTGCGCATGATGGTCCACATGGCGCCCCACTGGGCAATGTAAATCGGCTCCACCACCCAGGGGATCTCATTGACCAGGGTCAGGGCACCGGTGATGTGGTACAGGACCCCGACGTCGCGGATCTGCTCCCACGGCATGGGCATGTTCTCCAGCAGCTTGAAGGTGGCGTGGGGGACATACTTCAGAGCACCGAGGTACACGCGCTTGTCATTGCGATAGCGCTTGCTGCTCATGTCACCATGGTCCTTGATAATCTTGCGCAGGTGCTCCGGGGGCATTTCCTCCTTCTGAGGAACGGTCGAGCCGAAGCGCTGACGCTCCGAGTACCGAGCGTTGTTCATCTGGAGCCTGCGGGGCGTGCGTGCGTGCGTGGAGAAGAGGGGGGGGGGGGGCGACGGTTGTCATGGGCGATTTGTCCATCAGCAAGGTGCCATGGGGGTCAGAGTGCGCGAAGGGGGACAGACGAGGAGCAGGGGGAGGGACATTTCACCGGCCCAAAGGGGACGCACCATTTCTTGGACTTCTGCTCAAGCTCCTGGTTGGTTAGTCCAGAAGCAGGGCCCTGAGGCATGGGTGGCAGGGCAACCTGACTCATGGTGGCGGACAGAGGAGGAGGGAGGGGTGGGCGCGCTCCCTATGGGCCCGGCGCGGGAGGGGGACCTGCACCTGAAAGGGGCGGGGCGAGCCTGATGGGAGGGGGGGGGGGAGCGGGGAGGGGAGGGGAAGAGGGGAAACAAGAGAGAAGGGGGAGGGGGAGAAGCCAAAGACCGGAGGAAAGGGGGGGGGGGTGAGGGAGGGGATGGGATCGGTAGGGGGTCCCTTCAGAGGTTACTTCGAAGGCCGGAGGCTAGCCGGCACATTGCCGGCACTTGGGGCGGGCCTCCAGAGGGGGACAGGCGCGAGGGAGTAGTAGCAGGGGGTAAATGTTGTGCAATATTTCTCCCGAGGTCTCTGGGCCCTTGGGGCCGCGCGCGCACACCCCCCATCCCCCGCCCCCGCAACCCTCACGCGTCTCGTCCTGCCTCGCTCTATCCGCGTCCGACCCAGCGCAAGAGCCTCTCACGCTGGAAAAGACCCCTTTCCGGGCGGGTCCCCTCGCCCCCTCGGCCAGAACTCCGCCCAGTTGCCGGCCGTTTCTCGCCCGCCAGCCAGGGGGGGGGGGGGGGCGGGAAACAAACGCGCGCGCGAGTCCGGTCGCAGAGGGGCGAAAGTGCGCGCGCATTTTCCTCCCAGCGTGCGTGGGCCAACACACCGGGCTGCGTGTGCCCACCCGCGCCCCCCCCCCCGGCCGCCGCTACTTGTCCCGGGTGGCCACCGGTGGCACGGTCCGAACATGCCGCGACCATTGTCAGCTGATTCTCGTCTACAAGAATACAATCTGGATATGCGGAGCTCTGCGCTAGACACTTTCCCAAGCGGCAACCTAAACCCAGTCTCTTGGGCTGCCGGCGGACCGTCCGCCGGTGGCAGGTACGGCGCGACCCCCCCCCCCCCGCTGCGTCTTGCGGTGGGCGCTGTTGTCAGCGCCCGGGAGGGGAAGGAGGGAAGAAGAGCAGGGGCAGGGGAGCTAGGTTGGACGCTTTTTCTTTGTATTTCGCGCGCCCTCCAATGTGACGGAACAAATACATATGTGTGGTGCGCGTAAACACACATGTGCCAGTGAGCGAGCAAGTACTAGAATGGGCCCGAACAGCAGACATGTGAGTGCCTCTCTCCATGCCTTTCTCTTTCCGCCCCCCTCCGGTGGGGTGGAGAGGGAGCGCGGGGAAGAGGCGTGACACCACGCACATCGCATGCGCGCGTAGCACGACGGCTGCCGAGGTGTTGGCGTGGATGGACAGCAGAGGAGGCGCCTGTGCACGTCACACAGCATGTGGACACTTAGCCGCGCGGGGGGGCACCGCCGAGGCCGAGGCCGCTGAGGGCGTTCTGCAGAGCGGCCGGGTCCTGCATGAGGTTGTTCATCATCTGGGAGAGGCTGCCATCCTGCATCATGTTCTGCATCCTGCGGTGTGTGTACGACAAAAGCGGGGGGGGGG